AACCTCAAAGCTATGGCCTCCAACCTAAGAGCGATGGCCTCCAACCTAAAAGCTATGGCCTCCAACCTAAGAGCGATGGCCTCCAACCTCAAAGCTATGGCCTCTATCCTAAGAGCGATGGCCTCCAACCTAAGCACAAAACAAAGTTGGAGGGAGAGCATTTACCTTGTGCAGAACTACGATGAACTTCCGCAATCGAATTGGACATACCGTGACATACCTGTACATAGAGGGTTTTGACTTGATTACTCACCATACACATGCGTGTTTTCATTCAAGATTCGGAGCCAAATCTGAACTCTGCATAATTTGTATCCTCAACTCGAACACTTCGAAGTGAACTGGTTCTTTTGGCTTTCTTCTAAGGTGGAAAGGACGAGGGCCTAAGAAACTTTCCAACATAAAGATCATCGCTTTTGATGGGCTCAATACATTCCGTCCTTTGGTCAGAAAGTCTTCCTCAACCAGGTGAGCTGCTTTGGTTAGCAGACGACTTCAGAGCAGCATAGAGCAGCACCGTTTGAGAAAGTGTCTGGTTTCCATCTCCATTGGAGGCATACTCAAGACATTTCCGCGTCTCAAGAACCGGCGAACGTGCATTGCTCTTCTCTTCCTGTCCCGAGGCCAGCAGTAGCGAAGCTGGTTCTTGTGGGAGGCCCACAGCTGATCTTCCTGGACTTTTGAAGATCATTCCGGATCATGATGCAAGGTGTTACGGCGGTTGATGATATTATATATTGCAGTTGACATGTTTTCTGTCAAAGAGAGAGGGGAAGCTACTGCTAGTCATTAGCTGGCATCATTTGGTGGATCCTCCAGCTGAAGAACTTTGATTCTCAGTCTTCTGCACTACTGACCCGGCACCTTTCGGTAGAAGCACAACAATCTGAGTGCTTAGATATCACCTCCCCCGTCCCCCAGAGAACACCCCATTTTGAGACACCGGTATCATAGTATTTGTTCACAACGGATCCATACAGCCGGATCCTATTTTTACATCGACGAGGGTGGAGATGAGATCGTTCATTTTTCTCAAGTCAAAAGAGTTCCGAATTTCCGGACCTCCAGGTTTGGCTATCAGAGCCCCGACGATGCGAAAGACATCTTCTCCTTTGCCCGCCTGGGAGACCCGGAGAACTGGGGGTGACCCAGCATGACCCAGCGACCAGCGTGCGGAAAAACACGTAAAGCAGGTGCCAGCAGGGTCCCCAAAGTGGAGGGTCATTGTGGCTACTGTAACCTTTCAACCTTTTGGCACGCTTCAGGCCCTTTGTTTGGTCCAGGATTCTGCAAGAAGATTCATGACCCAACATGAAGATTCCACCGGTCCACCGCTGGCTTTGGATAGCACCACACCTAAATACGAAGTGTTCTTTCCAACTGCCTTCAGCAAGACAAGGGGTTCTGCCAGTTCTCCCATCCGTCCGCAGAGGCACTGAGCTGGATTGCCCTGAGATCTTCATGAAAGCTGTGGGGCACCTAGTAGCGATGGCCTCCCAAATGGAGTCACCGGTTCCGTGCCGGGTTTGCTTCTTAGGGATGGACGACAGGTGGAGCCAGCCAGCTTGTTGAAAATTTGAAATCGGCAGAAGTAGCGGGCACCAGAATGACTTGCAAAAAGAGAGTGGTCGGGAAATGCAGGGAAATGGAAGGAACTCCGCAGTGCTTCAGTGGCAAGGCAGTCCCTCCAATTCAATTCGTGGGAAGAGAAATGCCAGACTGCCTTTGCCAGGCCAGGTTGAATGGACCAGACATCAGTTCACGAAGTCCTTTTTTTTGATTTGATATTTTTGGAATTGGGTTGACCTAATAGCCATGGCCTCCAACCTAAGAGCGATGGCCTCCAACCTACTAGAGATGTTTGATGAGTTGACGACTTTTGGGGGGGGACACCCACTCCGGAGCGATCCCACGATGTCGAGTAGAGCCAAGGTGGTGATCTATGGACG